TCATGTTTCTATCTTGAACGTAATTAAATCATGTAGGATCTGTATGAAATTCAACAACTTAATTTGTTCTTGTTGAGATGACCTGATACAATCTAGTAAGAGTGGTTCGTTTGTGGACTCGTGAAATTCACAAGATCGCATGAGATTTCAAACTGCAAGAAAATCACTGTGAGTGTGAGGTTGTTTGTTTGTTTGTCTCTATGTGACAGACTGGTGAGCTGTCCAGGGTGTACCCTGCCTCTTACCCCATCACTTCTGGGTTATGTCCCCCTGCAACCCGGATAAAGATAGGAGGATGGTAGTTGTTCAATAGAGCCATTTAATTTTTGTGGTAACCAGACTCTAAACTTTGTTGAACGTTATGTTATATGAAGACAACATGTAGTATTTAAGTGACCAAACAGTACTGGACTAAACGTTATTGAATAGCGTTGAAGTAAAATGACAACATTGCGAAGGATTAAAATATTCCAAGAGCTCCCCTTACTTCATCTAAACATGTTTCAATCATGTTTTATCAACACAAAATGCACAGGTTTATTGAATATGAATAAGTTGTGTTGATTTAACTGAGTTGTTTAAGTTTCTGCCAAAGCAAAACAGTTGTGTGCAACCAGTGTCCACTATTGAATTAAGTAAATCCAACATGGCCTTTTTTTCAGTGTACCACACATTCAGACACAGTAGTAGATGGTGTTTTAATACTATATGTGCTATTCTAATTTGGTTGTATGAAGTGTACATTGACCTTTTGTGTCATAGGTTATAATGGTTGCACAGCCAATACAGCTTCTGAATACTTTTATGGTTTTTCTCCCTCTGCTTGCTTCTTACTGTTTTTGAGGCTCGGGACCAGCACTCCACACATTACATCAAACTCTTACAAGTCTAGAAAAGGAGTTGTTGGACAGAAAGACATCAAGTGAGTGGTAAGGATTTTGGTTTTTCAATATATTAGCAACTGTCAGTGACATTTATATTAATCAGGCTGAACTTTAATCATACTTTAAATCAACCTGTTTTACTTATCGTTTCATTTGTACTTTGGTTTGGGGAAGTTGTTTCTTTACTGATCTTTTCCTGTCTTCTGTTATTAGACTTGAGATATGACTGCACTATGCTGTAAATTCTACAAAACACGCTGTGTAGGTAAACAAACAACGACAGTTTGGTCTGCATTTCTTGAAACATCATATCCCACAAACTGTCATGGTCCTGGGTCAGTGATCCAGCGCTTTAAGTTTATTATTATCATTTTCTAGTTTATTCTGATTTTGTATTAGTTCTTTGGGTTTGGTCATCGTGTTT